GTGGGTGTGTGGGATGCAATCCCTGGTTGGGCAGGGTTGGGTCTGCTCCTCCTGTAGGTGCAGCCACGGCCCCCATGGTGAGACAGTGGCCTTGTGCTGATCACTTGTAGCAGTGCACACTGTTGTTAAACCGTGCTGCTGGTTTGAGTGAGTTCAGGCACTGAGAAGAGCCTGAGCTGGAAATGAAATCACTGAATAGAAAATCAGCTCTGTTGAGCCTAAACCAGGACGATGCTCTGCGTGCTGGGAACTCAGGTTGTCGCTGTCTTCTCAATCCCTGCAGGTGAAAGTGATGGTGAGGATTTGCCCCTCCCAAGGAGCGCATGAAACCTCCGAATCCATGTCCTTCCTCAAGGTTGACCCCCGAAAAAAGCAGATCACGTTTTACGACCCGGCGGCAAGCGGCCCGGCCAGCGCCGGCCACAGGAGAGGCGTTGTTGCCGTCCCAAAGATGTTCGCCTTCGATGCGGTGTTCCCCCAGGACGCCTCGCAGGTACCGGGGTCCCACACCAAAACACACAAATCTCCCATGGCTGCTGCTTTCAGCTTTCTTAGGAGTTTTCTGGGGAGTTTTGTTTGAATGAGTTGCCTTAATGCCTGGGAAAACCATGGTAATTAATAGACGAGTGGGTCCGTCCTGCCATTTCCAGCTTAGTCAAGGTTTAAAATTAAGGAGTAATAATAGCCCAGGAGATGGATTTGCCAATTAAATTATCTTCCTGCATTTTCTCTCATTAGAGAAAGACATGCAGCCAATTGGAAGTGCAGTTTTCCATCCTCCTCCATCCCCTTCCATCCCTTTCCATCCTCTTCCATCCCCTTCCATCCCCTTCCATCCCCTTCCATCCTCCTCCATCCCCTTCCATCCCTTTCCATCCCTTTCCATCCCTTTCCATCCCTTTCCATCCCTTTCCATCCCTTTCCATCCCTTTCCATCCCCTTCCATCCCCTTCCATCCTTTTCCATCCTTTTCCATCCTCCTCCATCCATGGTTTTAGCCCACTTGGTGCCACTGAATTCAAGTCCTTCCCCACTGCTTTCAATGGGACATGAACCTGTGCTAAATGCTGCCGTTAGGAGAAGAGATGCAGCTAACCTCGTGGGATCGCCATACCCAAACAGGGAGCTTCTGTATTTTCCTCGCCTTTTCCACTTTGTTTGTCCTGGTTCTAGCTGATTATTTTATCTTGGTGGTGGTGCTGATGGCGACACTGACACACGGATAGGATGGGACGATGTTTGGGAGCATTGGGGGCTGCAGGGAATTGGGTGAGATTGGACCCCTGAAACGTCCTCTTGGGAAAAATAGGTGGTTCAGGCAAAAAAAATGCTATGATAACTTCAAAAAGAGGAAAAATAACGAAGCAGAGTATGAAGAACTACTTCTGGCTGAAAAATAGAGTTTGATGGAGGAGAAATAAGCCACAAAACCAGCCAGTGGTTTATTAATGTTGAGAAAACATGACAAGATCTAGTTCAGAGTCCCACCTGCAAATCTCCTAGGGTTTTGTTTCCATTTTTGGGTCCCAAAGTAGAGATACGGAAACGTCCCTGCCCCAGTTCCCGTACGGGGTGGATCATCCCATTGGGTACCTGCATCCTGTGTGTTTGAACTGGCTTTAGTGCACTCAAATATTGTAGCGGGGTCGCTTTATCGATGGCGATGTTTCCCTTGGAAGAGGAAAATGTGATACTGTGAAATCTTACTCGGGGATCTTAAAGCGTTTTCTCCACCAGAAACGTCTGTTTAATTCCTCGGAGCGCTCTCGAGGAGCTCCATTTCGGCGGAGCTGCTGCTGGATGGCCGTGGCTGGGCTGTTCCAGCAGCAGGATGCCCGGCTGGGCAGCGCTGGGTTTGCCGCATTAGTCACCGAATCGATATTCCAGGAGAATTGGTGTAATAGAGCTCAGGGCTGGGTTAGGCTGCAGCAGCGTATTTGATTAGGGCTTTTTTGAGATAGCGTCGCTGCTAAAATAATAGGACCGGTGCCATAAGAACGGGGAGGCTGTTGAGCCTCAGAAATATTGAGTCATCCGTTTTGGAACAGCAAAACCCATCGCAGCTTTGGCTGTTTTTTACTGATCTGTCCCCGGTTTCTCTTGCAGGCTGAGGTGTGCTCCGGCACCGTGGCAGAAGTGATCCAGTCTGTTGTGAACGGTGCAGATGGCTGCATATTTTGCTTTGGTCACGTCAAGCTTGGTGAGCTCCCAAATTCGTTACAGTTAATTACTATGTCAGGCTGGTAATTACATGCTGTCAGCTCCCGGAACAATAAACCTGGAGTTTATGAATAGATTAGGATTTCTTTTTAATTAGCTTTGCAAACTTACCGTGGTTTATTTCTACGCTGGGATTGTGAGTTTTAATTTGAGGAGTTAAACGTAGCATCAGATTAGCTCATCGGAGAGCAAGTTTATGTGGGTGCGCTGTGATGAAAATCAAAAGAGCAGAGGTGTTCTTAGAGTTAATTTGCTCTGGGTCTGAGTCGCAGAAATTACAGAACTAATTGAATAAACAGTAATGGATTAATAATGAAATACTTTGCGTTTTTGCATCTGTTCTTTGCCGTTACCCGTCCAGCACACGGCACCGCGGGTAGCGTGCAGTGGTGATGTGAGGAGACCCCGTCTCGTCCAAGGAAGGTGAATTAAGCTCACGTTTGCCCTTTCGTTTCAGGAAAATCCTTTACCATGATCGGCAAAGATAACTCCACGCAGAGCCTCGGCGTCATCCCCTGCGCCATCTCTTGGCTCTTCAAATTGATCAATGAGCGCAAGGAGAAGACGGGGACTCGCTTCTCCATCCGGGTCTCGGCCGTGGAGATCAGCGGCAAGGAGGAAAACCTGAAGGATTTGTTGGCCGAAGTGGCCACCGGCAGCCTCCAGGACGGGCAATCCCCCGGGGTTTACCTCAGAGAGGATCCGATATGTGGAACCCAGGTACAACGGGTTTAAAACCAGATTCTGAGCCTGACTTTCTCCTGCTCCTCATTTCCTTTTATCTGACACCAATTCTGACAACTGCTTTTAATTCTCAAGCCCTTCTCCCGTGCTGTACCTGTTTGTTTCTTTCTAGAGATGTAGCCAGCTCGGCAAAAAATAATGATAATTAACTGCCCCCGTGGTAATTAGTGGTTTTCTTGTTTGCACTCAAGCTTCAGAACCAAAGTGAGCTGCGGGCCCCCACGGCGGAGAAAGCCGCCTTCTTCCTGGACGCTGCCATCGCCGCCAGGAGCACCAGCAAACCCGAGTGCGAGGAGGAGGAGAGGAGGAACTCCCACATGCTCTTCACCCTCCACATATACCAGTACCGCATGGAGAAGAGCGGCAAGGGAGGAAGTAGGAGCCCTTTCCTGTTCTCCGTCCTGTTGATGTTTGATTTGGTCGTTATCCTGTGCCGTGTTCATGATCACAGAATCCCAGAGCATTAGGGATTGGAAGGGACCTCCAAAGCTCATCCAGTCCAATCCCCTGCCGGAGCAGGAACACCCAGATGAGGTTGCACAGGAAGGCGTCCAGGCGGGTTTTGAATGTCTGCAGAGAAGGAGACTCCACAACCTCTCTGGGCAGCCTGGGCCAGTGCTCTGTCACCCTCACTGAGAAGAAGTTTCTTCTCCAGTTTCAGTGGAACCTCCTGTGTTCCAGTTTGTGTCCGTTCCCCCTTGTCCTATCATTGTTTGTCACCGAGAAGAGCCTGGCTCCATCCTCGTGACACTCACCCTTTAAATATTTATAACCATGAATGAGGTCTCCCCTCAGTCTCCTCTTCTGCAAACTAAAGAGCCCCAGCTCCCTCAGCTGCTCCTCATAAGGGAGATGCTCCACTCCCTCCATCATCTTTGTAGCCCTACCCTGGACCCTCTCCAGCAGTTCCTGTCCTTCTTGAACTGAGGGGCCCAGAACTGGACACAATATTCCAGATGCGGTCTCAAAATGCGGAATGATTTTCCTCATTCGAATGCGTTTCGGGTGCCGAGTTCAGCTCGCGCCCGTGCTCTACAACTGCTTCTCCCTTTTCTGTTCAGTGTCTGGGGGACGCAGCCGTTTGCATCTGATCGACCTGGGGAGCTGCGAGAAGGTGCTGAGCAAGAGCCGCGACGGAGGGGGCTCGCTGTGCCTGTCTCTCTCTGCCCTGGGCAATGTGATCTTGGCCTTAATTAACGGTGCCAAGCACGTGCCATACAAGTAAGTGAATTATTACCCTAAATTCGTGGCTGGTGCTACCTCAGCGATGAATTGCACCAACAGTTTACCTAAGGAGAAGTTAAGGAGAGGGGTCTGTCATCTTTTAAGGTCATTTCTGTATTACAGAGACATATACCTCTTCCTCTGCCTCTCTGTGCATATATCTGCGTTCACACAGATCTTCAATGTCACATAATAACATTAAATTCTTAATTACGTTCCAAAAATGATGTGCCTGTTGGTACGTACTTAAGTTGGGTGAAATGAGAGGGTCTGGTTGTTGAAAAAAAGTAGGGGGAAAGTGGCCAAAATGATGTCTTTCCTTCTGCCTCCTCTTTGCTTCCTGGGTTTGCCATTTTAGATTTAGGAATGGTTTTCACCAGAACCACATGGGATTTTCCTCTCCTTTTTTCCAAATCCAAAAATCGAAATTTCAGAGAATACCAGAGAGCTTGTCAAGTGTGGTCACCAAAGGTGGTTATTTCTGCCTGCCTTGGTGAATGATACCTCTTTTTAAATTAAAATATAAAGAAATGTTGCTCATTTGTGTAGCAGAAGTGAACATTTAGGTGTGTTCTCTGTGGCATCTACTTGACAATATTATGTCAAAACAACCCTATAGGGAGCCCAGCTTGAAGACAACGACGACATTGAAAACACCCTCTCCACAATTTGGCCATTGGTCCTTGCATTTAATTGCTGCTTGTCTTGACGTGCCGTCATTATCAATCATGTCATTTCACGTATTTATTATTGGTTAGGCATTTCTTACCATTTCTCTGGACTTATTTTCATCCTTATTATCAAAATTGCTTGCACAGAGTCACAGAGCTTCGCTATCCACTACTAAGGCTGCTCAGCTACACCTGGAGCACGCGTGAGCTTTTTGGGTGGTGTGAGCTAAACAGAGCTAACTAAACCAGTTACCAGTCTTACAGTTGTCCAGGTAACAAAATGAATTATGATACTGCAAATACACAGGTGGATGGATAATTTAGGTATCGGTGTTTTTCTATGTGTGTGTTTAGATGTGTTTTAAGTGTGATCAAATAACAGAGGTTTATTTCTTATCTCTATGTACCATACATGGGTGTATCTGATGAGAGGGAAAGCACAGCTTGAGGTGTAAAAGCAGATAAAAATAAAAATAGTGATGTTTTTAAACCATCCCAGTGTCCTCATTTGCTACCCAGGGACAACAAGCTGACGATGTTGCTGAGGGAGTCTCTCGGGAACATCAACTGCAGGACCACGATGATCGCGCACATTTCGGACTCCCCGGCCAATTACGCAGAGACCCTCACCACCGTGCAGCTCGCGTCGCGGATCCACCGCATGAGGAAGAAGAAATCCAAGGTTGGTTCACGAGCGAGCAGGAATTAATGCGTTTGAAAATGCGTTTTCCTGACCTCTTGGTGGGGCAGCGTGGGATTTCTCGGCGGTGAGAAGTGGTACAAAATGCGTGCAGGCTGGGGAGGGGAGCTGCCAATGCCGTGGCACCGAGCCATCGTCCTGCCCCCGGTCTCTCATCCTCAAATTCGCTGCTGTTTTGTTCTGAACGCGTCGTCTTTCTTTGCTGACGGGTGGAAAGAGCTCCGTTTTGTATGAATTAAAAATGAGTAAGGCAAGAGCGGGAAATTGTTGAGGAGAATATTTAATGGAAATGATCTGAAAACGTGACTGTTGTATTACTCCTGATACAGTAAAATCTATGTAGCATGACCTTGGTATTTTAAATTACACTTCCAGTAGATGTAGTTGTGATGGGATACATAAAGCACAGAGTATACAGCAAACCTGGCCTTTTCATCACTGATACGCACATGTATAAATACTTACCTATCAATTAATGTTAACAGCTTTTCCCTCCTCGATCGTTTGCAGTACGCATCCAGCTCGTCGGGAGGAGAGAGCTCCTGTGAGGAAGGACACGTCCGAAGACCGCCCCATTTGCGACCCTTCCACCCCCGAACTGTTGCCCTGGACCCCGACCTCCCCGTCCTGAGCATCTCCAGTGACCCCGACTACTCCTCCAGCAGCGAGCAGTCCTGCGACACCGTCATCTACGTGGGTCCCAACGGCGCGGCTTTGTCCGACAGGGAGTTGACGGACAACGAAGGTCCTCCCGAGTTCGTCCCCATCATCCCGTCCCTGAACAAGAAGAGAAGTAAGGACAGTTCTGCCCTGGGTCGGAGTTCTGACAAGGACCATTTTAAATGCAACACTTTTGCTGAGCTGCAGGAGAGGTTGGAGTGCATCGATGGCAGCGAGGAACCCATCAGGTTTGCTTGTGGAGAAACCTCGGTTGTGTCCGGTTGTAGTCTGGTCCCTGGAGGAACAGAAAACGCACAGTCTAAGTTGATAAAGGAAAAAATATCTTCTCCTTCTGGAGGATTTAAGAAACCAGTTCCACAGGAAGCTGCATCTCCCAGAAAGGGACACAACCTTCCTTTCCAGGCCGTCGCACCGCGGGGCGGCAATGGCGGTTGTCATGAGAAGAGCCCATCCCACTTGAAAACGGAGATTTCCAAGCCGCAGAGCAGAGCTGACAGCAAAATGACAGACCCGGTACTGGAGGGGGAGAGAGAGGCAGTCCCGGATTCCCCACTGTCCTCACGGGGTGGCCCTTCGAGGAACCTGGAGCAGGGCACGGCCACAGCTGAATGTGTCGTAAAGGAGAAGTCCTTGTACACAAAGAGGCCCCTGCCAAGCCCTGCGCCTCCGCCTCCACAACACGCACCCAGCTGCAAAGCTGAGAGCTCGGAGCTGGACAACAGCAGCGCGGTTCGGACTCCTCCTGTGGGGATGAGCAAGCAGATGGGGAGCAAACCTGAGCACAGCCCCGTCGGGAGCACGTTCCTGGTTGGCAGCAACACCCAAAATCAGTCGGGTGCCATAGAGGTGCACAGCTTCAGGTCGGCGTTCAGGGGGAAGTGCTTTGACCGGGATATACTCACCACCACGGTGACTTTGCAGCAGCCTGTCGAGCTGAACGGGGAGGATGAGCTGGTTTTTACTGTGGTGGAGGAGCTTTCCATCAGCGGGATCATGGATAACGGGAGACCTTCCAGTATCATCAGCTTCAACAGCGACTGCTCCCTCCAGGCCCTTGCGTCGGGTTCGAGGCCGGTCAGTATTATCAGCAGCATCAACGATGAGTTTGATGCTTACACCTCACAGGAGACTGCTGCCGGTGTCAACATTGACATCGTCGTGCCCTTTGCTAAGGATCCCTTCGCCAGCAGCCGCCGTTCCTCCATCAGCTCGTGGCTGAGCGAAGTCAGCATCTGTACGATCGAGAGCGACGGAGCCCAGTCCAGCGACAGTTTTGTCGCGCAGTCGTCCTACAGCTGTAGCAAGTCCGAGGAGCCCTTCAACCTGGACTGCTCGCATTTATCCGTCCCCCTGAAAAGCGCTCTGAACGACAGCGGCTTTTGCTTCTCCGAGCTGGAGACGGAGAGCTTGAGTTCCAGCATCAGCAAAAGCCCTCAGACCTCTGAAACTACCAAAGCATCTCAGATCAAAAGTGCTTTTTGCGTCACTGATCAGCCCGTAAAGATAAAATTCAGCCATTCTCGCGATATGCCCGTGATAGAAACAATACACTCTAGTCTTCCTAGGAAAACAAAAACTACCTCGTCTCCAATCCACAATAATACCGTCCTTGGCTATAAAGAGCTGCAGAATCCCCATGGCATGTTTGAAGACCCCTGGCTGTTGCGCACCGATTACCAGTCGGAAGCCAAACCTGCGGACTCGCTGCTGTCTCCAAAATCTCACGCGTTTGGGACGGAGAAGCAGCCAGGAAAAGCTCCCCAGTATTTTGACGCGGCGCCCGGGCCGACCAAGTCGCAGACGATGCTGGCCTGTTCGCAGAGGGTCGTGGACGGCTGCGAAATGGCCTGCAAATCCTCCGGCGCCGCCACCAAGAAGTCGGAAGCTGCGATGAAGATGCCGCAGCTGAAGAGAGGAGCCACCACGCTGGGGGTGATGCCAGTGTCGCACGCCAACAGCACTTTGTCAGACGCCGTGACCCGAGGGAATTCGGACGCTGCCTTGGCCACTGGCAGCTTGAAATCATCACTTGGGAAGAAGAGCGCGCCACAGAAGTCGGCCATGCTGCCCAGGCCGGGTGGGCCGACTCCTCCAACGCCTCCTGTGCGCAAATCGAGCCTGGAGCAGAAACCTGTTGGTCTGGGTAGTGGTGGGGGAAAAGCCTCCGGCCTGGACTTTGCCAGAGCTGCCACGCCGAAGGCTGAGGACGAAGCCGATCTGCGGTTGAAAGCTGGGTCTTACTTCAGCGAAAGCGCCAGCAGCAAGATGAACCTGAAGGGCGACCACTCCTTGCCCAAGATGACGTCCAGCTTGAAGGCGAAGGCGTCGAAGAGCGAAGCCGTGCACCGTTACGGCAGCCACATGTCCCTGGAGAGGTGCGACAGCCTGACGTCGGTCGGGTCCAAAGCGAGCGTGGCGAGGGAGAATGGGAGCAACAGCCGGGCAGGGCGCTCTGTCCCCAGGCTGGGGGTCCCCCCTGTTGCCTCCAGTGTGGGTTTACCACCCTCCTTCACCGCCCCTGTGCCTGGTAAAAGCAGCCAGGCCAAACCCATGGCGAACCAGAAGGTGCAAGCAAATGGGAATAAAACCCGAGGCCTCTCCGCCAGCGGATCCAAGTCCCTCAGCTCCTCTGTGAAGTCCCTGGCGCAGCCCGTGGGGAAGGGCTCTGGCGTGGCCCCCGGAGGGAAGGTGGCTCCCCGCTCCGTGCAGCCCGTCAGCGGCAAACCCGGCCGAGGGACCATCATGGGGACCAAGCAGG